CATTCACACACAAGTTTACGTTAAAAACATACGAGTTACAAAAACAGTCGGTTATGTCTGTGAAGGTAAACAACTGGGAAAGAAATTGGATGTTTATGTTAGATCTGTGTGGCAGCAGCGTAATATACAGTAAATAAATCAATAAATCCACTGCTCTCTTGTCTCCTCTGAGGCTGGGACTCTAAACAGTGTTCTGTGCTCGTCTGTGCAGCCAAAGACAGAACAGTTAGCATGTTTTGCTCAAACTTTCTCAATAGCGTTAGAACTGGTACACCGTTGTCGCTTGCAAAAACAATGGCGGAGCCGTGGGTGGAAACTTACAGATTATGGGGTGGTAATATTATAATGAGATCCCCTTACAACGTCACTAGGGGAGCAAAATCAAAGCACCTCGTTTTTTCACGAACTTGCAGATACATTTTTTCCCCATGTTTTCTGGGTCGGTAGATGCACCGGGGACCCGATTATAGCACTTAAACGCGGAATAAGTCAGATTTTCTTGATGTCACCTTTAGAATAGTAAAATTTCTATAATAATAATAGTATAATACTAATAATAAGAGTTTCAGTTGCTAAGAAAATATTTTGTCTGATCAAAAGTAAATTAAATGCTAAAAATTTGATTTTGTTCAGTTTTTATGCCCTTTATTTTGTGGCAGTGTTTCCTCATAATATGGATATTTAGAAATTCCAGTTTTGTGGCAACATTAATGTCTACTATGTCAATTATTATTAAATGGCAAGAAAAAGAAAATTCTCTAATTTTGTTTCATTACTTTATTAATGACTGTTAAGTAAAAAAAAAAACTGCATGAGAAAACTTGAAGCCTTATATACTTAACACCTGTGAAATAGTGTTATGGCTGCATGTTGTTGATTTAGTTGCATTTATTTATATTGCTCATTTAATTATTGTGTGTAGTAGTAGCATATTACTTTCTGTTGAATATTGCTGTGAAATTGAAGTTTGTATCAAGTATCATCTACTGGAATATAGATATCAACCCCATTGGTTTTAAAGTCACTTGCAGTAATTTTAGAGCTGATATTTTGTCATGTGAGTCCATTCGCAATATAATTCTGGCTTAATTATTTGAGAAGACTTTACACAACAGTAAGCTCATTTACTTTTGTTGTGAATGGATTCCAGCTGTGAAAAAGGACCTGTCTTTAACATGCTTTCTCTGTGTGTCTCTCCAGCAGTCTGTCTCCAGATCTTCTGGATGGGAGTCTCAGTAGCGTCGGCTCCTCCTCCGACTCTCCCGCCAAGATGGAAGGAGTGTCACCCTCCTCCAGTAACTCGCTTCAGGACCTCTCCCCTAAGTGATCCGCTGAGCATCACGGACATCACAGGAGGACTGGGCCGCTTCTCAGGCCCTTTTCTACTAATTTGACTTTTGTTCCCAATGCCTTTCCAAAATGGCTTTCGTTCTTTTCCTGAATTGTTCTGTTACGTTACATTTAAAGCGAGGCGCGAGAGTTTTCCGTGTGGGACAGACCCTAAGGGCATGGATGGAAAGACTGTGGATGTTTTTTGCATCAGCTGCTATAAATAGATGTAAAACATGGTGTATAGATCTGTATCAAAGCGAAGGACATCACGGAGGAGGATCGTGGATTTAGTTTTTTGATTTGTTTTTATTTTTGATACCGCTTCGAAAAGAAAACCGCTGTAAACAGGAGAACAACTACAGGCACGTTCTTTGATTTACAATCTCAGCTTGCCAACCAGTATTGTGTGTGAGAATTTAACTTATTTTTTTGGCTTTTATTTGTATGTAAGTATGTACATAAGATTCGTGGCAAAACGTGCAGAGGCAAAGAGCTTGACCGGGAAACTGACAGCTGCCTCTTCTGCAGTTTTATTAGCGGTGCAACTGCACTTTTAAAGGGGCAGAATTTCATTTTGCGCTTTGGTCTGAATCTGCGTATGTAGTTCCAGGAATGGCCTTTTTTTGATTTTCAAGTAGGTGGAGGAAACTTATTATAATTTTTTTTTTTTTTTCAGATCTTGGCACTTCATTCTCTGTTAGAATGATATTCATGGTTGCTATACACAACTACTGCAGATAGGATTTAATATTGCAGCTGTTGGTAACCACTAAACCCTCGATTTGAATACTACAGAGAAACTAAACTGCCTGTTGAAGCTGGTCAACCTAAAGACTTGCGCACAGCCATGTTGTCAGAGAATGGAGCAAAACATCCGGGGCTGAGATGAATGATGTCCAGCGTATGAATTACTTTTCTCAGAGTGGCTTTGCCCCGTTTGTTATTTGGGAAGGATTTGGAGGAGAATGCAATGCGCTCTACAGTTGCAGTTAAAAGCATTTTCAGAGGCTGTTAACAGTCATACGTTTGGCAGTTTAAAATGTGGAGCAGAAGTGCAAAGAAATGAAACCCTCTCATCAAAAATTTTATTTGTGGAGTTTTAAATGTAATCTACTGATACCGAAACGGTGTGCCATTTAAATGTGTGTATATAAGAGAAATGTACAACTGTAATAGTAGGAGTTCTTTGTTTGGGGTGTAGTTACTTTAGGAAATAGTATTTTCTTTTGTAAATGGTTTCCTAAATTTCATTACAAGAAATTGCTTTATTTCCTCAAGCATGATATGATGTATCATAAATTCATTTCTCTGTGCAAGAAAGTGATTGTAAAATTAATTTTTATTTTCATTTAAGTGAATTGAAAGTGAGGGGGTAAGAAAAGTGACACCGCAGTGTAAATCTTTTTCTGAATGTCTTTGCAAACAAAAATACAGTAAGTGGGTCGTGTAGATCCAGGTTCTGTCCTGTAGTGATGGGTGAAGTGTATTTGTAGTTTGCTCTGCTGGTTTGTTTTTTGTCCTGTGGACGTGTCGAATTCTTTATTTAATGATTTTACTCTGTCCTGTCGCCTCATGCAGTACTTTTAAAGCCTGTGCACATGAACTCTTGTCGAGGAGGACTTGAGTGCTGTCATGAGGACGTGTAGTTGTGCTCTCTGAACAAATCTTGTTCCCATCATATCAGAGACTTCCAGATGTCAGAAATAAATTATTTGTCCAGCTATTTTGTTGCCTTGTCTTGTGATGTCAAACTTACTTGCTGTTGACAGTCTGGTTGTCTTCAAATACACGATGGTCATAACGGATGTTAAAAAGTACTCTATGGTCTCTTTTTGTGCACTTCATTTAGTCATAATGAATCTTTCTGCTTTTCACAGACTGATGCATTTCTACAATTAACTTTGTGAATGTATCCGTTAACTATTTTTAATGTTTTTGAAAGTCTCTTATGTTCACCAAGGCTGCATTTATTTGATCAAAACCAGCAAAAATAGTAATAAAATATGATAATTGAATTGAACATTGCTGTTTACTATTTGAATAGATTTTGAATGTCATGTATTCCTGTGATGCAAAGCTGAATTTTCAGCATCATTACTCCAGTCTTCAGTGTCACATGATCCTTCAGAAATCATTCTAATATGCTGATTTCCTGCTCGAGAAACATCTCATATCAATGTTGAACACAGTTGTGCTGCTCTTTGATGAATAGAAATGCAAAAGAACAGCATTTATTTGAAATGGAAATCTTTTAAACATTATAAATGTCTTTTCTGTCACTTCTGATCAAGATAATGCACCCTTGCTGAATATAATAAAATGTAACTAACCCAAAACCATGTATTATATTACCGTGGGTAATATAGAAACTACTTACAAAGGGGTTTCTAATACAGTTTCTGAGAGAGAGTGTGGAAAGAGCCATTAATATTCAAACTTGTTCTTTGGTCTGATGTAATTTAAAAAAAAATTTTTTAAAACAAGCCTAGTAAAATCACTGTATCTAATCCTGTTCTAAAAAAAAACCTTTTATCACACTCAAGTTACATATTGCTTCCTTAACTGATTGAACTATCATACAGAAAATAATGTTACTACCAATACTTTTGAACATGAAAGTGTGTTTTGGAAATGCTTTTAACAATCAATTTCTTTATTTGATGTGTAATCTATAGAGATTACTGTGCACAAGATTTAAGCAGTGGACAAACATCAGAACATAAAAGCCATTTTCAGTCTTGAGAAAAGCAACAAAAAGGCACAGACACCGAATATGACATATAACAACACATTTAATTTAATGTATTCATGTTCCTCTACACCCCCTCCCACTTAGCATAATAGTCAGCCGGATTCAATGGCAGCTCAGTCAGTGTTAGGCCTGTAAACACAGAACGCTCCCCTCCCCTCGCCCGTGGATCTTTGTGTCTTCATTGTGTCTGTGAGTTTGTGATGATCATTTAAGAAGTTAGTTCCTGTTTATAGGGAGTTTCTCAGACGTGCTTCCCCTCCATCCTCACAACCCCTCCTGGCTGTGTTAATGTCCATATCTGCCCTCTTCATCATTTTAGTTCCTTTCAACGAGATCGTTTCCAAGAGCACTTCAAGTGCGCAGAATAACCATTGTAAGAAGACCTGTGCGACATGGGAAACAAATCATGATAAAGTGCACAATGTATATTTGCAATATGATGCTTTTTTTGCGACTCACCTAAAACATAAGCAGCTACAAGTTTCTTGTTAACACTTAAGTGGAGGTAGACAGGCACTGTGGATTCCTGCTCTCCCAGAGTTGGGAGCATAAGAGCTGCCATACACACCAGGCCTAAAAGGACAGTGAGGAGGCTGGGGCCCCCAGACGCTGTATGGCTCTCTGTGCAAACACAGAAAAGGAAGAAGCAGATGGTTTTAAAATGAAAGCAAACCACCAAACTATAAAAATAACACAGCTCTCTGACTCCACCCAGTGGGAAAAGGCGTTAACAGCAACAGCTTTAATAGAGAGCTCAGTAAGGCCTAAAGCTAGCAGGGAAAAGCTACCAACCAATCAGTTTTTTTTTACACTGTATACAGTTATTTTCAAGCAAAAGTGCATTTATGAATTTATGAGTTATATTACACCAGTATTACATCTTCAAGCTTGTTACAAATTATATTTTTGTGAAACAAAAAGTTGTTTTGAAAAAGAAAAGTGTTTTGAAAATAGAAAAGTAAAAATAATAGTTAAAAAAAACGCATTACTTCTAGTGAATATTAAAAAAATTGCTAAATTTCAATTTGTGAGGAAACCCCCAAAAATTGTAAAACAAAAAAATTAAACTTGTGTACTGCAAAGAAAAAACTGTAAAGACAATTTTACATTTAATATGAAAAATATAAATATGATTTCCAGTCAATATAAAACTCCATTGCTCTATTTTCATTTTTTGAAACAAATTAAGAAACCTTTATTTAATTTATTTATTAAGAAAAGAAAATAGAAATGAACTGAAACTTGTATTTTTGTAAATAAAAAAGAAAAACAATTAAAAAACTTACCATTTAATAAAAAACAGAAGGATTACTTCTAGCAAATATTAAACACATTGCTAAATCATTCAATTTGTGAAGAAAACCAATAAATAAGTAAATAAATAAACAGTAACTTGTATTTTTGTGAAGAAATTTTTTTTATGTGTATTTTATATATATATATATGAAGAGTTTATTTGCAAAAACAGTTAACTCCGTTTTTTTTATTTTCAAAAATCATGTTTTTTATTATGTTATCATGTTTTTATTGTGTTTTATCGTGTTAGCTGTTTTTTTAAGCTATTTTTTTAGCTTAATCAAAGTAACCCAACTGCAATTTGATTGAGATTAACTGGAATGCACAACGAAAAAGCATGATTCCTGAGAATTGTTAAAAACGGAGTTATCTGTTTTTGCAAAAATGAACTCTTCACATTTCACATATATATATATTTCCATTGTTTCTGGCATTAAAATATACATTATAGAAATTAAAAGTGTGAACATGAAAGTTGTGATCCGCAGATATGTTCATAAACCTAACTGAATGTTGTATAGGAATGGTGAAATCCATTTTCATTCATAAAACATTATGATAGATTATAGATTTCAGCATAAAATAATTTAACAAAGCTGTTTGATACATACACAGACATGTCTGGTTATGCTCCACTAGAGGACACTGCAATGATTCCTTCACCTTACCACTGTCCTTCTCATCTGGGGACCTTGACCAGGGTCAGACAAGACTGTTTCAGTCTTCTATTAATAATAATAATACTACTACTAATAATAATAATAATAATAATGTTTATCATTATGTGTATGTTACTCTGACTTATAAAATGCATTTATTTCACAGCAGTTTTCACTGCAAAGAGCCTGTAATTTTAATCTTTAATTTAGGTGGATCAATTTTTTGTCTACAAAGAAGAAACTAAGGAAGAATATCTTGCAGAAGGTTTGTTCATTAGCATTTCATTAATGAAATACAGCAAAATCAAATGAACAACATCCTTATCTCCTACCTTTTAATTTCTTAAAGTTTGCTGTGGAATAAAGCCTGTCAACAAATATTTTGTGAAGGATGGCATGGGGAACAAGGTCTTCGGTATTCTTGAGGACAGCGACTGTTGTGACAGGTCTTTCTGTGCTAGTGGACGTTCTTTCATAATGAATGTTACAGACAACTCAAATCAAGAGGTCATCAGACTGGTGCACCCGTCTGCTTGCTGCTACGGCAGCCATGAGGTATTAAAGTGATTCTTGTCTCGTTTAACTGTTAAAGGGGTCATATGATGCTTTTTTAAAGATCATTATTTTGTGTATTTGGTGTAACAGAATATGTTGACATGCTTTAATGTTCAAAAAACACATTATTTTTCAAATACTGTACATTGTGTTGAGGTTTCCAAGCAACCTGGATGTCAAAATGAAAGCTACTCTACTGGGGGCCTGCATACTTATTGTAAATATTATTAAAAATACCTTTTAAAACATTTTTTTTTCAGAGTTGTAATGTAAGTCTTGTTCGTAATTTATAATTCTAACTTGTTTATTTATTATTATTAATTATAATTCATTTTCAGGACTCCGTGAATTATCACACGTCACATGGTGAACCGCTCTTGTGTACCTTCATATCATTGGCATTCGGCTATTGGAAAATGTCCTAGGTGGGGCTGTGCCACATCCAACAATTTCAGCAAACATCCCAGTACGATTTAATGCTAAACAGTAAAAGTTAAAGAAAAAGTTTTATTTTTTTAATAAGTTAACAAGAAGGAGTATGTTTCAAAATATGTTTCAAGCCTCATTATAGTATTAGTGTTTTATTAATACTAGAATTTGAGATGCTTGACACATATTTGAAATAAAAATAAATGTTTTGCCAAGTTCTGGATTAGGTTTGAGGATGATTCTCTCACAAAATTGTATTTTATTATTTTTTTCAAGGTAAATTAAAAATATATATTTTTTTCATTTTCATATTTCACAATCTTATGTGTACAGTGCAACAGCAAAAAAATTGTGAGGAAAAAATAAATAAATGTGAAAAATAGGGAGGATTTGGATTCCAATTTACATACAAATTCCTTCAAAAAGAGTTAATAACTCAATACTTGACACTTTATTGTTACAAGTGCAAAAATAAAAAGTCCATAATATAGAAAATCAGACAAATTAAAGTCTTCATTCAAACAATGTGGTTGTGCATTATTAAAACGCATAATCCATTTTCTTTCAGTTTGTAATAATTTCTCTTCCATATTGGTGTTTAGTATATTGAAGAAGAAGAAGAAGAAGGACAATTAACTGAAATATATTCTGTGAAATGTCAGGCAACTGATTTAATATCAGCTGTATTTATAGCACTTCTGAGTTTATTAATACAAAATTCCAGTTGTTGATTGGTCTTACATATTGAAGACCACAAGGGCAAGAAAGTAAATGTATCACACTTGTTGAACAACAAGAAATAAATGTCTGATTTCAAATTCCTGTTTTTTTTTTTAGAATAACTCACAAACTTATAGAGTCTTTTAAAATTATGACAGGCCAAACAATGGCTGCATGGGAAAACCCCACTGGACCTTTGATTATTTTTTATTTTTTCAGCGATAGCCGTAAGGGCATGTACCAAATAAATGTCTTCCTCTAGAATACACTAACAGAGGTCCATCATTAAACAATTCTTAACTTTTTTTTTGTCTGTATTTAAAATATGCCAATTTTTTTTTAATTAGGTTTTTGATGTCCTTACCTAAATGTGTCAGCATGTCGAAAAATCACCTATTATTTTTTTCTTTTTTCTAGAATGTTTAACTGAGACATCCAAAGTTTCCAAAGTCCAAAATCCATTTTTTTAAATAACCTTGTGCTAAAAATTGATTATACAATTTTCTTGGCTCAATATCAGTTCATTCTGCAAATACATATTTTTCAAGAAACCGACTAGACTAGAGTAAACCCTGTCTTAATGGTTGCACATGGCTGCTTAAAGGCACAATATGTACGATTTTTTTTTTATAAAAATATCCAAAAACCACTAGAACAGTGTTATATATTTTGCTGACTTGTGTACTTAAGACGATAACTCCCATGATTCCACACTCAGTCACGGCATCATCAAACTACGCCTTTGTCTCTTTGTTTATTTTGAATACGCGCTCTCTAGCGGTGAAAATTACATATTGTGCCTTTAATGTAATAGGCTGTTTCTGTGTGTCAGTTTTTGATATACCATTGTTGATCCACTATTAAAACTTTAGGATAAAGAAATGGGAGCTCTCTATTATTGTATTCCATATTGAATTTAATAAAACCACAAAAACTATTCATTTGCATGAAAAGACTAGTTCCTCCTTTGAGCCCTTGAAAAGTATAAAAATGCATCCACGATAAAATAGAAGATTATTGTAGAGGGGGTTGTTTGAAAATACAATACAATCCTTTCTTACAAAAACCCCATCGTTAGTATTGCTAAATCTCGTGCAAAACAAGATCCCATTGCAATGCCTTGTGTTTGTCGATATAAATCATTTTCATATAAAAATTATTTCTTAGTGAGAATCAATCTTGCCATATCTACTAATACACTCTCAGAAAAAAGGTACAAAAGCTGTCATTGAGATGGTACCCTTTCAAAAGGTATGCCTTTGTACCTTATGACACCACATACATCTCAATGTAACACTTATTTACCCCTCAGTGGTGCATATTAATAACTTAAACTTACTGTCCCGGTGACAGTTTTTGTACTTATTTAATTATTATTATTATTATACTCTAGGTTAAAATAAACCACAATTATCAGCATACAAGGTAACCTGTAACACAGGTTGATTTATTGCTTCGAATAACAATATCTGTGACTTTGAGATTGAACTCTGTTTACTATAAGCATGTGACAACAGACAAGAGGATAAAAATGGACACTCATGCCAAGCTTGATGAGGATTTAGTAAAGCTTTGAAAGGTAAACTGAGAAAAAAATAAAGCATATCTATGCAAATTATAATACATATGATATTCAAAAAACACTATTCAAAACCACTGATTAATTCTCTTTCCCTTTCACAGACCCTGAGAAGAAGCAGTTTTCAAATATCAAAGTGTCTGAATTGCAAGTTGGTGCATTTAAAAAAAAAAGATGGTGACATTTAAAATGTTCTGTTTCTGTGTGTGGTTCAACCATGCACTTTATTCACTTCTGCACTCTGTTTTGCATTAACTACTACTTCTTCTGCTTTTTAATTATTTTTTTATTTTTAGTTTTTTTGTTTTTTTGTGCAGACAGTTTTTATACAGTAATGGAATATTTATACTTTTACTTTTGTCACAGATCGGCCAGACTCAGTCACCTCCCAATCACCGCAAACACCTTCACCTGAGCACTGATCACACGCACCTGTCAGAAATCGGCAATCATCATCAGTTCTCCTACAAAAGCACACACCTCACATCACTTTCAGTGTCCGATCTCATTCATTCGAAGTGGACTCTCTCTCTCTGATATTTTTTCTTTTTGTTTTTCTAACCATCTGTGTGAGTCTCCTTCCGTAACAGAAGAACGGACCATAACGATGACTGCAGCTGAGGACGCGCTGTGGGGTTTGTGGCAAGATGGTCGGAGGTTGGAGCGATATGTGGAGGGTTTCCTCGAGCTCTCCAATCGGGTGAGTTGGCACAACGCCGCTCTAGGTGTGTGCTTCCTGCTGGGGTTGGATGACGAAATAATCAGCTGCGACCTCCCAACGGGTGATTTTCCTTTGATAGAGCTGATTAATCTCGTACTATTCCTAAATAGCTCTGATATGGAAGTTGAGGAAGTAATGAGACTTCCCAAGCCTCGTCATCCAACGCCCTCAAGTGCCCGCTCCTCCAGAGCGCCCTCAAGTGCCCGCACTTCCTGAGCGACCCCCAGGATTCCTAGATTTCCCCAAGAAGATTTGGGGGGGGGGCCATATACCTGTGGCCGAGCCAGCCAAGGCCACGGAGGAACCGCCATGGCCTCCCGAGTCCCCTGATCCGCCATGGCGACCTGAACTGCCTGCTCCGCCATGCCTCCCGGAGCTCCCTGATCCGGCCCCCACTCCCCGATGGTACTGTTACGGCGCGGGACGCGCCTTCTGGGAGGGGGGGGTAATGTTAGGGTTATGTTTAGTACGGCGCGGGACGCGCCTTCTGGGAGGGGGGAGTAATGTTAGGGTTATGTTTAGTTTTTGTCCTGTTTTCATTGTGTTTTCAGTTTCTGTTCCCCTGTGACCTAGTTTTACTTTGGCTCCTAATTGTCATTTCGTTCACCTGTGTTTGATTAATTTAACTTAGTTCTTTTGTTTGCTCCCCTACAAATATTCTCAGTTTTCCCTTAGTCTGAGTCCGTTCTCATTTATGTAATGTTGGTCTACTTGCCTGTCTCCTGGATTCTCAGATTAAAATACCTTTTGTATATCTCCTTCGTCCTCGTGTGTGTGTGTGTACCTCACCAACCCGTAACAACTTTCCAGTAATACAGGTAAAGCTTAAATTTTCTACAAATTGTTTAAAGTAGTCCCAATTTTATTTGGTCAAGAGTTTATATATGCTGCTGGAATTTATGTATGTAATGAAGTACAATTAAATTACACTAAAGGTACTTGAAGTGGCTTAATTTTAACAGATCATTTATTAAAATATATTGCAACTAACTTAAAATTGATCTTAAGCATGTCTTGAAAAACACAATATTATTTATTTACCTAACATTATTTATTACGCATTACATTAATTAAAAGTTGTTCCAAAATAACACATTTTAAAATATTTTTTGGGACAACATTCTGCTTACAAAAAATAACAACAGATCTCAGGTCAACATGTCTCAGTCATGAATATTACTGGAAATATAAAATGAACAAGCAAGCAGTCACTGCTGCAGCAAATAAACAAACCGCGATGACCCGCAGCTTCTGTGCCAACGATCAAGTATAAACTTAACAGTCACAGCCACCACACTGCTTCACTTCTTTATGACATAATACAACTTTCCTACCTTTTAAAATTGTATTTTCTTATTTGCTTTATTTTTCTTAATTTTTCATTTAGTGCCTTGTGAAAGAAGGGGAAAAACTGATATCCAGCAGTTACAAACAAGGAAATCAAGGGAAAAAATGTCTGTAATTATTTACAAGTCTGTGACCTTTATGGCATATTTAGTTACTTACATGAATTTACCAGAATGATAATTAACCTATGGGGCATGTTAAAATTAGAAGTAACTAAACTTGAAAGTGGATCAGACCCCTGCCCTGCTCAACCACTAACATCATTCTGGCCACACACACACACAAAGTAGTAGTACTCAAGATTGTGTGTCATAAAATTTACTGTATTTATAAGTGCCACACTGCCTGACAGACGAATTGTATCTCACTGGTATGTATAATATATCTGTCAATAAACACACACACACACACACACACATATATACTGTAATTTAAATTAATGTAATTTAAATCATGTTAGATTGTGTATTTTATGTATGAATGTGTAGTGATCTATAAATAAACAATGAAAGAGAAGAAAATTTAGCACTGTAGGTAAACAACAACAAATTATTTTATTTTATTTTGTTATTTTAATTAATTAATTTACTTACTTACTCTTTTATATTCTCTTCACAGGTAAAATCAAACATGG